CAAGGCGGTGGGTAGGGATCCCTCACCCAAAGAGGCGTTGACAACTCCCTGGAGCCACCCCCGCGTACCCTCCCGGGCGGCCATAACCAGCCAGGAGGGACACGGGTCCAACAAACAAGTGGTGGCATTCAGTCGCCCCAGCACTCTGTCCATGTCTTCTGGAGTCACGGGGTCAAACTCAACCCATAGATTGGAATCACAAGACCCTGGAGATGCTGCAACATTCCAGCTGATCGACGCTTCTTCTGGGCTCAGCAGAAGCACCAGGATCAGCGCCGAGCTCCAGCTGGAGCCTGGTGCTGATCCTGGCGCTTCCGCTGAGCCCTGCAGCTCCAGCCATCTCTCGCTCAGGCTTGTGCGGTGCTGCCACCGGTTCAGCTCATTCCCCTCCCCTGCTACCACTTTTCTGGGATGTTTGGGTACCACCTGCCAGGTGCCAATGTACCACAGGTGGTACCCGTACCACTGGTTGAAAAGCCCTGGTCTATCATATTCATCTTCAGTGTCTCCCTTTCATAAAATTAACAGAACCGTTAACTTCAGAAGTACATCAGAAGGTGCAGAAAAGGGTATGGAAGAGAAATTATTCCAAGTGGCCCTGCAAAAGGTATTGTTTTATTTAAAGGTAATAAAAATGACTGTTTGAGAAGTCAAGATGTTTCCCAGAAAATGTATGAATGTATAATTAGTCAGGGCCAGTAGCAAAGATACTTCGCAGAAGTTGTTTTTAAAAGGTATTTTACCTTGACAGAAGTTACATAACTCTTGATCAGGAGCATTTGCTAATCGTTGTTCTTCAGGTTTACTTTCTTTCCAAAGCACAAAAACATTTTTGTGTAATTAGAATGTTGTTTTATGTATGCCAGCCATAAGGCATTCAGAAATCAAGGGAAGATGTGCTTTGACTCTTCGGCAATGCCATGTTTTAAACAAATGAGCTGTCTTTGTATCATCAGAAACCTCTGCCTCTTTGTCTATCTGTACAGCTTCTTTTTCTTAGAGGGGAAGTATGTCTTGCTATCAACTGAACAGCCAAAATGACCTAGGGGCTATCAAGAAACAGAGTCTATACCAGGGGTAGTCAACCTTGGCTCTTTTATGACTCGTGGACTTCAACTCCCAGAATTCCTGAGCCAGCTGTGCTGGCTCAGGAATTCTGGGAGTTGAAGTCCACGAGTCATAAAAGAGCCAAGGTTGACTACCCCTGGTCTATACCTTTTGCAAAAGCTACTCTACCCAGTGAAATAAGACTGGAAAGTACTGTACCATGTCCCATCTCTGTCTGGGCATATGTGCCAATGATCTCCAAGTTCCAAGCAGGCATGAAGAAGCGATCCTGCTGTTCTTTGGTTGCCTGGGTTAGTAATGTGGGCAGGAACATGCCCAGGTGGAGGTCCAAAGGCTCAGGCCGTCCTTGATGAAGGCAACTGTAAAGAAATGCCAGGGAAGGGAATGTGAAGGGGTATTACAAGTGGAAGCAGGTGAGATTAGAGATGCAGATCGGAGAGGGAAGACAAAAATAATGTGATAAATCAGAATGAAGCAAGCATATTTATCAAAGCACCTTTCTTTTCCCAGAATTACAAAGCCCTACATCAATCCAAAGGACAGAGGATACTCTGTTTGATCACAAAAGGAGGACTGGTTTCAGGTGATTAATAAAAGGCAGTATTATTCTAGAAATTCTAGTGAGTCCTTGTGTTCCCTGGAAACATATTGAAAATAAACAGAGAATATAAATATTAGCTTCTGTACATAAATTGAAAAAGGAACAAATCAGTTAACAATGTTCCACAATGAAATCAAAGCAATAAAACTTTATCCAATTCAAATTTGGATAAAGGAGGGAAATTACTCAAAAGTTTTTATTCAAAACAAGTCTACATTACAATTATCCTCTTTCTTGTATGGCTTCATTCTGTAATATTTCTGTTGTTTTAAATGATATTTCAAAGATTCTTCTGGGAAGAAAAGGGTGGTGCTTTGAATCAGCAATTAAAGCTATCAGGCCGGTTCATAGCTTTATACAAATGTTTATAAAGAGAAAAACCATCACCAAAAGCTCCCCAAGTGAGCAAAACATGCTTCCTAATCATAATCCAATAAGCACATTCAAATACCATGGGGTTTTTTTTTATAATCAAGGTGATTACATTTTACAATGTATTATGGTATTCTTAAGCCAACATCCTTTTCAAGATAGCCTTCAATCTGGGGCATCTTTAACCTGTTATAGTACTATATGGATTACTGTGCCAAGTCATCCTTGATGGAAATCTATCATGAAGTCTCCAGATGGCCTCTTAAGCATGCCATCAGCAACATGGGGATAATAATGGCCTGGTTTATAGGTTTATTGCCATGTGGACTGAAATAATTAATTGTAATTACTTAATTAATGGCCTAATGCTGGGAAAGATTGAGGGCAATAGAAGAAGGGGACGACAGAGAATGAGGTGGCTGGATGGAGTCACTGAAGCAGTAGGCGTGAGCTTAAATGGACTCCAGAAGATGGTAGAGGACAGGAAGACCTGGAGGAACGTTGTCCATGGGGTCGCGATGGGTTGGACAGGACTTCGCAACTAACAACAACAATCCAAAGTAATCCAAATATTTGAGGAGTTATTTATCTTCACAGGCATTCTGCTCTTCAATTGTGAAGCAGTACACAGCCCTTTGCTGACAAAATCTTTGCTCACAAAAGTAGTGGTATGAAACAAAAGAGAGACAGAGATGCTGAAATCTCCCCCGTTCTGAGCTGGTGTGACAATAGATGTTGAAAGGGACTAGAGAGCAACCAGTGAATTTGCCAACTTTTGCATAAAGCTCATTTTATAATGAGGAGATGGAAAAGGTTATCAGTAAACGAATAAAATGTTTATACCAGGTGTCCATAAGTCTAAGGCCCATGATAAAATATTGCACTTATTAAATATAAAATAGCAAACTTATTGTGGAAATATTATTATGCTTGCTACCAATATTGTACAGTAGCAGAGACTTCTGTTTAACCAAAATTCCAAATTATTCGTTATTATAATTATCTTCAGGATGTATAAAATGGCAACTAAGGTGTCCTCATTAGTAATAATGTGGAACAACTAAGTATATAAATTATTGGTATTAGGTTACCAAGAGACTGCATGGCATTTGCACTAAAGCCAAAACCATCTATTATTTTCAAATATCTGCAGCAGTTTTGTAGAATAGTGATAAACAATTTTAAAATAGTATTAAAAAGACAAGAAAATAGCATGATCAGATAATTGTCATCTACAAATAGGAGAGAAGAATGAAATCAATTTTGGGTAGAAATGCTCAGTGTGATAATTTATAGCCCAGACAAGCAACTTTTGATGGCTGAGAATTACACTAAAAAGGTTGTGTGTAAAATTTAAGAAAACAAAACAAATGCAAAAAGCCAAAGAATAATAACATGATAGTCTGCCATCTGTTTTCAGTAGCAGAGTTCCTAAAAAGTGGAGAATGGTGGATTCAATGCTATTTATGGCTTGTGAACAACTCAATCCTAATTTACAGCATATGCCGTTAGTTCTAAAACAGTGCTGTTCAGATTCTATTTTTTAACCATATTTATTGAAGCTATTGGAACTCTGTTTTCCTTCTTCAAACAAAAGAGAAAAAAATGGGAGGCAGGCTACAGTAGCAAGATGTCAGAAAATTAATATTTGCTGTTTGCATCTTATCTTGAAAGCTGAATCCTCAATAGGGCCACAAGAAACTGCCTTATACCAATTAAATCGCTGTCAGTTCCCTTGACTGAAAATTGGCAACACTGGCTGACAGAAGCTCTTAAAGATCTTTCATCAACGAGTGAACTTAGAATCTTCTGAACGTAAATTTTACATACTACCACTATTTTAAAAAAAAGCCTTCTGTGCCAGGTCTACATCATTTGGATATCTATTAAAAGTAACTGAAAGAAGTAACTATTTTACATGCAACACTGATGAATGCCAAGCAGCATCAGTCAAGCTTATTATTTTCAATAACATCATATTGCAATTCAGCCTTAACAACCTATCAAAACAGTGGGAAATCCTGACATACCTATGTTGCTGAACAGAAAAATTGCACTGTTATGGAATCTTGACCCGTTTGTCATAAAGTACATGGATTAGTTTTTGTTATTATTATTGTTGCTGTTATTGTTATTAGGAAATGGCGTTACATTAGCCAAGAGACCAAATGCTACTGCGGAGTAGTAGTATGGCTGCCAAATTACCAGCTCTGTTGTAGGAAATGTTGGGCACTTCCCAAGGTGTGCCATAGCAGCACGAGCTGACTGCACACCAGAAAGAAAAACAAGTGGCTTTTCCTACAGCATCATCCTAGACCCCCTCCCCAGAGACGCCTTGGGCCCTGCATCCAGGAGAGTTCAGAGCTGGCAGGAATCTGACCACCACCAATTCATCTCCCCACCAAAGTGGTACCTATTTACCTACTCACATAGAATATGCTTTTGAACTGTTAGGTAGACAGAAGCTGAGACAAGTGACAGAAACTCCCCCCACCAAACAGTGTTGGGACTTGAACCGCTGGAGCAGAGACTATCTCCAGCACCAATAAGCCACTGAGCACCTCACCTCGTATGGATTAGTTAACAGAACATCAATATTACATACTAACACAAACACAGAAATAGGTTAGTATGCATAGCATGCAAAAAAAACCAAAAAACAAAACCTCAAATCCCAAATAAATACAGCTATGGTCAAGGCTCCAAACAAAACCAACTATATTGTGCTTATTCATATGGTTGCTTATTTGTAAGTTGCTCCATTCGGATAAATTGCTTGTAGGGTACAACTGTTACATTCAAGTGGTAATGCCTGTGGCATGCAATTGTTAAATTCATGGATGCTTAGGTTCAAAGCAGCAAAAGATTTTTCAAGAGGTATCAGTAATCATGATTTAACCGAAAAAGCCAGACTGCATATGCATCATTCTCCAGGATTAATTGTGGAAAGCACATTTGGAAAGCAGAGTCTTTCTCTTTTCAACCAGGCACATTTGTGTCTTTGTTACAATGCAGCATACTAATCAAGTTCTGCATTTTTGTTAAATTTGGGATGACAGAAAAACTAGAATGTTTTCAAACAAACAGCACTACGGTATCACTTGATGCAGGAGCGGTAGCTAAATGAGAACAAAAAGTTATATACTGTCTTGATAGGTGTTTCAGTTCCACTTCATCCCGTATTAGGTAACTTTCTGCCAGCTGATATCATTGAGCTGTTCAGTTCAACAATTCCTTATGACTACAAGTCCTATTTCTTGCCAATCAAATGAAAATGAAGACACAGGAACCAACCCTTTTATTCTTTCCAGACTGGCTTAGGTGAAACGTATCTAAAATATATAGATTCCAATATAAAATGGCCAGGATAATAGTAAACACACTTTTTCCACAAACATATACCATAATGAAGAAAGCGAGTCAAGATTGTCTCCTCTCTTTTATTTCAGTTAGCATTAAAACCACTGACGAAGAAAATATAGCAAGAAAATAAAATTCCAGAAAGTAAGTTATCCAATCACAATTTCAATCTAAATGAAAAAAAAATCCTTAATGAAACATGTTCCTAGGAAGGTGTTTCAACATGTTTATAGTAGAATATTATTACAGTCAACTCATTTGCCCAAAGGCATTATTAGATCAAATTATCCAACGTTAGTGCACCATGTTGCAATATTCAATATCATACAGGACCATAGCAATTAGTAAGTAACAGTTCATTTTAGTTCATCATTGTTATTGTCAAGGAAGAAGAGACAGAACCTGGGGGGCAGAGTCAAGAGAAGACTCAGCCTAAAAATTGTCATGTGTCCACAAATGCTTCAAATCCAACCTGCCTTGAATTCCAATGACTCCTATCTAGTGCCAATTTGGTTGACCAGATTCTTCTGTATAGGCTTGAGCAATAAATCTTCTAAACTGGAACATAACATATGGTCCTGATTCTTTGCGCCCAACAGTTACCACCATACTTATCTATGTCTTGTTCAATAGTATAAGCATGTACTGTAGTTTATAGTTTCCAATGTATAAAATTGCTTTTAGTCTGCAATTTCTGCATATTATTTCAGCACAAACTTATTTGACACTGCCTAATATTAGAGAAAACTTCAGCCTGGAAGAAAAAAATTGCTCATCCTGAATCTTAAGAACATGGTATTCAAAAATCCAAGGCAAAGAACGTATAAAACCCACAAATAGCTTTTATATTGGATTTGAACCTGTAACACCCAAACGGTAGATACCCCTCTAACACCCCCAATCAACACATTACATTTGATCCAGGATTTCGTGTTTGCTCTCTATCTCTAAACCCACTGCCAGGCAGTTTTGAATAATACTGTATTGGCAACCCCATATATTTCTGAAAAGAACTAACCGTGCCCC